TTCCCTGCCTGCAAATCTCTTCGTAACGCTGCTTGAAATCGGTTGTTTTCTTGTCGAATTGAAAATGATCCAGTCTCTCGCAATCTATTAAATGTCAACATAAACACTCTTCGGTTTGGCACTCTTCTGTTTGGAAATCGTCGTGCATATTCTCGCACCGCCTTTAAAGCATTACCGTTGCAGAAACCGTATACAAAAACCATATCAGCATATTCACTATTAGAATACGTACGCGGCATATTGCAAAAGACAAAATTCATCTACTGTTAAAGGCTTTCAAAGAGCGACTGACAAATTCATAACAGAAAGTGGAAAATGTAATCAAATATGTCGGTGCTAGATATGGCAAGAAATGTAAACATTTTTTTTCGATTTCTCTGAAACGGAGCAAAAACGAGCATATGTCTATAGGACTTTTTTTCTTAGTTTTTTACTCCTCTACACGCTCCCGAAGTTTTGCGATTTAATTTGGAAACACCCTGTATAATCATAATTATTTTACCATGCAATTATAGTCACAAACACCAAATACTTGTCTCTCAGTCAATAGCAAGATCATCATCACAAAGGGAATTAACCTTGACGAAACCCTGTTTACTCATATCGATTCTTCCAGCGGCGAAATACCTCGCCATATTTTTCTTTCTGCCTCGGAAACGGCCTTCGGCCTACGCACTTTGTGCGACTTGATAAACATTTACGTCGAGAATGACAGAATACGAGGTATCCGTGGACGTCCCGGTAAATCCGATGGCATCCTATAGCCACAAAAATCCTAGATTCTTCGTACATTCGGGATATGCCGGCGTTCCTCGACGGGGATGTTTCCGTATGACAGCAGTCGCGTTTCCGTTTATTTTAGGTAGCCGTCGATCTTTTGGTCGCTCTAGCGAAGCCTTCGATCTCCTCGGGCGACATGCGTCGCGTTCTCCAATCGCGTGGGTGGCGGCTGCACGAACTTGGTTGCTTAACGTAATTGCTCTAGCGTCGCTAGCGTTAAATGGGAAAGGTAACGGGCGGCAAAAGGTCTTGGGGCCTACAGAACTGCATTAAGGATCACGCCAAAGTGAGGATATAATCCGAACTGCTACTCCGATTGACGTATTTCAATCATAAGACATCCGCCCTCACAAATCCACTTTATTTGATCAAAGATGAGCCTGGAATATCTGGCGAAGAATAATCACGTTAATTACGGAATCTTTCTTGAAAAACTTTCTCATTCACTTTACTTCTCTGCAAAGACCTTATACACCTTGCATATATTTTATCTTTCTAACGCGAGAATTATTTTATATTCGTTACCTATTTCATTTTTAATTTAAAACTAGCTTATCTTGTCTTAGAAACTTCGCTAAAAAACAGTAAATGTTTATTCCTACACCGATGTAAATTAATTTTTATCTCAGTTTAACTTATTTCTTATCTTCTTTCGAATTAGTAAAAGATAAAAGTAAATTGAACAGACTGAATTTACTTTCGGAACTGACGGCAAAATTTGTAACACAGTTATTGACTACACCGCACCCTTTTTCGAGTAATAACACACGTAGTTATGAAACTGGTCAATCACAGTTATTCCATTCTTCACAAGGAATAGCTATGAGAGATTGGTCAGTTTTATAACTATACAAATGTTGTTAAATTCGATTAATGCTCGTTTCTATTAATTATAGATTAATCTCGATTCAATTTAGTCTTCATCTTTTTCTAGTTTCAAGAATTAGAAAAAAAAAGAGTAAATTAAACCAAGATTAAAGTTAATCCACATTGGTAGAAACGGGCCTAAAGGTTCAGCTTTTTCAGCAAGAATTGGAACAATTGTGCATTGATAGAAATAAGTCTGATTTTGATAGAAATCATTCTGATAATGAAATAGATTAACATTAACCTCGGTTTAACTTACTTTTTATTATATCTTTTTCTAATCCGAAGAATCAGATAAAAATAAAATAAAGAATGTTTTCTTTAGCTGAACTAATATATAGTCTTTGAACTTAAAGTGAAACAGATATGTGTTTGTCCGATAAAATATGTTTGGCAAAAATGAGAAGGAAATGTAGTCCAATATAGAAATAAAAATAAACCTAAATAAACCTAAATAAACTAAGAGATTAAAGAGAGTTAATCATTCGTAGAAATGAGTTTATTTAAGTCCATTTTTGTTAATGTTAACTAACATTAATCTCGGTTTGACTTACTTTTAATTTTTCTCATTTCTAAGAAATAGAAAAAGATAAAGAGAGTAAGTAAATTAAAATGAGATTAAAGTTGATCTACATTAATAGAAATGGATTAGAAAATGGGAAGAGTGTAAGCAAAGAATCTATTATACACACAGAAAAATACATATTATACGCAAATAATAATTACTTGCTTCAAATATTTCAAAAGCTCATATATCCGCAAATCTATCATAACTTCATCACAGAAATCAAATTTGTTCAAAATATATTCGGAGTCCCAGTAAGTTTAAGATTTCAATCAAGATTATTAAATTAAAAAAAATTTTATTTGCTTATTATATAAAGTCGCTTCTTCGATTAATTTTATAATACTTTTCAAAAGAAAATAAATTCCTGTTTCGAGTATATAATAAGTTTTCCTAAAATTTGCAATAAGTATATTTTAAGATCATTATCAAGAAAACATTCTTTGTGAAAGATAACCGGGGGAAAAAAAAAAGTAAATTGAGTAGTCACTTTTCTGAGCAATAGAATGATATTTTTCTGTAGGTCTGTTTTCTATAGCTAAACTAGTACACTTTTAGGACTTAAATTGAAATAGATATGTATGATATTTGGCAAAAACGAGAAAGGAAGTTCTAAAGCAGTGATCAGATTGGAGACTGAAATTGAGATTGGATTGGAATTTAACCAATCAGAAGAAAGAAAACCAATCTCAAGTTTAGTGGATTTTGCTTTGATTGCTTAAATTCCAATCCAATTTCACTCTCAATTTCTAGTTCAATCATGGCTTAATGAAGTCTAGTGTAGGAATAAAAAAGAAACAAACTTTATGATACAACAAACTTTATCATCCATAGTATTTCAGATATCTACTGTAACGACTGTAGTGAAGATGGCTACAGATAGCAGCACTTGTCGCGCGGGCATCTGCGGGTATCCTACGACGATGCTGTCTGTTGGTCATTACTCCGACGTATCAATCTTGCGAAAGACGAGCCAAATATCCCGCACAAAATACTTATTCGCGCGCTACTATATCTGACAAAAAGCCCCAGATATTTTTCAACGAAACTCGATGGTTATCTATGACGTCGAGATAACACGATGCTGTTTCCACGGAGAAAAACAGTTTTGCAGATTGCAATGTTTACCAAATGAAGCACAGCCCTGATAACGCTTCTTCCAAACGTAGATCAATCTCCCGTAAAATCACAACACGATTAATTTGTTCCTTCTGCTGCAATTGTTGGACAATGGAGGAAGAAAGACAAGGATCTGTTATACAAATGTAGCTTCTCGCACAGGAAAACTAAAAAGAAAGCTAAAAAGATTCCTTTTAAGAGATGCAGTCCATTACTGCAGAAGTTCATATTATCAATAAACCTCTCAAAATTTTAAGAAAGATTTGAACATCTTCACAGTTCGAGAAGACGAGAAGAGAAGCTCTCAGATATCTGTTTCTATAAATGTAAATTAACTTTAATCTTGATTCAACTTCTTGATCTTTTTCTATAACTTAATTCTACCAATTTAAGAGTAATTTCGGTTCAAATTGTTTATTTTTTTCTAATGTCTGTTTCTATCAATGTAGATTAATCCCAATTCAATTTACTCTTCATCTTCTTCTAATTTTTATAACTAGAAAAAATAAGAAATTAATTGAACCAAAATTAAAATTAAACTACATTGGTAGAAGAGACAAACATAATTCTACTGTTTATCTTTTTCCAATTATACAATATAATTCTAAGAATTAGAAAAAGATAAACAGTAAATTAAACTGAGATTAAAATTGATCTTACATTGACAGAACTAGGCTAAATTTTTAGAAGTAAAAAAAGATGAGTCAGTTGAATCAAGACTAAAATTAAACTAAATTAGTAGAAGCAGACAGGAGATGGAGATCTCTGGTCACATCTCGGAGATTGATTGTATATAACACAACTTGGTGAAAATTACAAAAGAGAGAAAATTCATTAGGATGTTAATTGTGCATCTTGAAACAAGATAAAAATTATAAGAGTGAGCAAATTCACAAGATGTGTTGATTAATAAAATTATAAATATTCCAGTAAATCACTCACTTTTATAACACCTCATCTCAAGATATACAATCAACCCCTAGATATTGACCAGGGTACTTTTTTCCATTAATGACACAAGTCATCACAAGCATCAGTCCATCTTTCTTGACATTCCATGAATAACAAAGACAAAACGACACTTGTATCGATTTAAGTCAACAAATGGAAAATACCTAAAATTATAAACATTCTAGTCAACTTGCCCATTTTTGTAACTTTCATCAAGTTGAGCGATACATAGCATAATCGAATGGCCTCAATCACGCGTATCGCGTTAACGTTGTACCGAGAAGCGAGGGTCCGCCGTGTCCTTTATACACAACGAATGTCACCCATCTCGGAAAACTTCAGCCCTTCGTTGAAAAACCTTGTGACGCTACTTTCCGAAGCGAGGAGAGTCGGGGGACCCGCAATAGTCGCGACGTATATCCTTATCGTCTCCTCTCTTTCTCCGCGATCAGGTTAATCGCAGCCACGCACGACTTACGTACCCTTTCCAGCTTCTGGAAGTATTCCCGCAGGAAGGAGATCGGGTTCTCGGGCCGGCCCACGCACAGTTGCACTATACAGTCTTTCAGGACCTGTTGGATATTGTGTCTCTGCACGTATTCCTCGCACTCGCGTAAGCTCTGTTCCTCCTCGAGATTCGCCGCCATATTGATGATGCACGGCGCGCCGCTTTATCGGCGATACGGCCGCGGCGTCGCCCTTCGTCGACCGAACGCCGCTGCTGCCAGGCCGTCGTCTCGCGATCTCGCGCTCGTGATTTCGAGGTTTCGACGCTGAAAATATCTACGTGACGATCTTCACTCTCCGTCGCATTTCTTTCAGCACTGAAAATAGAGAATTTTAAAAGAAGGAAATAAAATAAACAAAGGAAGTTCAGATATGACTCTGGCAAGACTCAGAATTCGCGCGAAGTCTTTTGTCATTGTTTGTTATTGAGAATCGTTGTTTATTACGAATCGATAATTTAGTCAAAGTTAGTTATTGAAGTTAGTTCTCCAAGTCTATTTTACAGAATTTTTTACAAGAATCCGTGACGAATTTATGTCATATAAATTGAACTAGAACAAAGTTCTAGGCTGGACACAAAGTGGGATCCAAAGATGACATCAAGTAGATTAGTTATTTTAGAAAAAAAATCATATAATTACGTCATTCGATACACTTTTGATGATTTTGTTATGAATTCTTGACACGATATGATTTTTCAGTAATTTTTTATTATCTATCGATTTAAAATACTCACGTTTTATGTTTATTTCTATCAATGTAAATTAATTTTAATCTCGATTTAATTTACTCTTAATATTTTTGTAATTTTTAAATCCAGAAAAACGTGAACTTACTTTCATGTTTTTTCAGATTTAAAAATTACAAAAATATTAAGAGTAAATTAAATCGAGATTAAAATTAAATTACATTGGTAGGAATGAAAAAGGCCTGGTTTTACCAATGTAAAACTAACTTTAGTTTCGATTTAATTTACTTTTTACCCTTTTCTAATTCTTAGATAAAAATAAAGAGTAAATTAAACCGAGATTAAAGTTAATCTTATAGCGAATTCGATTATTTGCACTACACTAGATTAGTGCAAACTAAAAGTTGCTATACATGAAATTAACAAAGTTAAATGTAAAAGTATCTAAATATTTTAAACGATTAACTATCTACTAATGATATTGTCCCGTTATTTAACAAAATATATATGTATCATTTCATTGTCAAAGTTGATTATATTTATCACTGCATTGAGATATTTTATATAAAGTGGCTTTTAATATACATTGATCCAGTGTAGTACGAGTGATCGAATTCACCATTATATTGATGGAACCGAATCGAAATCGACCCGAAAACCGCGCCGTTGCCGTCGTACCGTCCTGAACATAGCCGCGCCGCAAACTCGCGCGCATGCGCGCTGCGCGAGTTGACTCGCGAGCGCTCGATAGATCGCGACGGAGCTGCCTCTCGACCAATCGCCGTCATTTCGATCGGTCGCCCGATCCATCTCGTTTATCTCGCTTATCGCGCGTATCGCGATGGACGGCGGAGTGCTGCTGCGTGCGGCGTACTGCTGCTTCCTACGAACGGGTGAATCTCCGCGCTGAGAGGGAGAGAGAGGTGCCCTTGGTGTGTGTAGTGTATATACGCGGAAGCCTAAGCTCGCGGATCCGTCGGGCCGCGCCTCGTCGCCTCGCTTCGCGACGGACTTCACGGCGTTGAAGCGGAGCGAAGTCGGGCGCGATCGCTCCGCGACGGTCGGTCGGTCGATCAAGACAGGACGGACGATTCTTCCCCGGGGAAGAGGGGAGCCGAGCGTGAGCGCGAATAATCGGAGACTCGCCGTGCGGGGAATCGAGAGAGTCGCGCCGTGTTCTCTCCTCGCGTGTGCTCTCTCGGCGATACGCAAAAAGGTATCCTCGCGGATACCTTCGCGTCTGTGCGTGCGTCTCTCGTTTGATCTCGTTCACGCGCCGGGGTTTGAAGTTGGCTGTCAACGAACGCGGGCGGCCGAATACCCTCGAGGAGTCCGCTCACGAGACCTCGGAGGGTCTCGACCACGAGGAAGAGCGAGAACGACCAACAGGGAGTGAGAGAGAGAGAAAGAGAGAGGGACAGGACCGAGCCAGTCTCGTGAGAGGAGCAGCAGAAAGGAAAAAAGAAGAGGATAGAGGTACCTCCGTCGACGACGAGATTGAGGATTTTTCAGTGTTCGTACGTGTTCCTCGAAGATTTCTTCCTTGATCCTTGATCCCTGCATTCACGCGACCTCCGACGTACACGGACACGCGTATAGATGGACGCGAGATCATCGCGCGCGCGTGCGCGCACATGTATATATACACGCACGCGCGCGCGCGCGCATGTGTGAGCGTGTTGTGTGTCTGAGTGTAGAGTTCCCAGATCCCCAACTGTGTGTGCGCGAATGCTGCGTGAATCAGCCGTGCGACGACGATGACGGTCGATCGACGGTTTCGACCGTGCCGCTTCCTCTCGCTCACGTCGTCACCCGGTCGTTCCTCGCGCGAAGGATCGATACGCGTCGTAGTCTCCTTCGAGAAAAAGCGAGAGAGACGCGAGAAGGGAGGAGAGACTTGCCGTTGCCATTCCCGACGAAAATAGCAAACGAGTCCTCTCTCTCTCTCTCTCGGTCTTTCTCTCGCTCTCTCTCTCGCGACGGTGTCCTTTGGCCGCGTTTCGCCCGGCATTACTTCACGTTGTCAAGTCGCGAAACGGAAAGGGGAAGGGGATCGAACATCGCAAAGGGGGAGAGGGAGACCACGTTCGATCGAGAACGTTTCGCGTCGCCGGTAAGCATCAGCAGGGAACGCCGAAACGGATGGATTCTCCGTCATCGGCGACGGGATCACGATGTCGGGCAAGCGCTTTTATAACGTCGGTCACGGGACTGTTGAAGTTCGTCACGTCAGTCTAGGTTCTTTTGGTCGCCTGGTATGTCGGTAGCTCGTGTTTTCTTTCAGTTTGAGGTTATCCGGTTTGCGTAAGCTGTAAAGTGAAGTTTGTTATCGTTTAGCGATAAAATATACATAAATACTTTTACAATCTTGATAAAAGCTGTAGAAGTACTTATATTATTTCCCGCGGGGTTTGCGAGAATTGGGTTTTAACTGTTGACAGTTTTTCGATAATGAGATTTGTCAAATTTTCAACGCCATGTTATTTTAAATTTCTGTATTTATCTTTTTGAAATTGTAAACTTAGATCAAATATTCATACACTGAAAAAGAATATTAAATTTTAATTAATATTTGCCTGAGTAGTTCTAATAAATATTAATCAAACGTAAATATATGTTTATTTGGTACAAGAACCATTAAGTTGATTTAATTATCATTTTTTTTATTGAGTGAATATTTATTTACTGTAAGTGAATGTTTACTTATTGTTAGTACTATTCAGAGAAATATGTATTTAGTAAATTTTTTTTAGTATAGTCCGTCTTAAGATTTAAGATCTTAAGTAATGTTTTAATGTGCTAATACGGCCCTTTGATTGGTTCGTGACATCTTAAGACTATACTTAAGATAAGTTTAAATATAGAACCGACTATAAATACCAGCCTGTGATTGGCTGACATTTTAAGACTGTATTTAAGATGATATATGAAGACTAAGAATGAATACTGCCTTTAATTTCTTTATCTTGACTCGTTATTGTATATTTATTATCCATTTGAACCATTAATATTTATGTGATCTGTACAAATTGAGTGATTAAATATCGAGGAGAAGAAAGAAAATTAATTTGTAGGAGTCATACAATTTGAATAATTAAATTAGAGAAAAATAGAGGAAATATAGATTAATTAACAGAATTAGCATTAATTATCATGATCAATCAATAGCTTTCGGGAAATATTCCTTTAATGCCAATTTTATAACTGTAATCATTTTATAACTGTAATCGTACTTTCATGTAATTTTATTTGATAACTATTTAGTCTTGATTTTACAATAATTGAATTCTTCAATTACATAGAAAATATTTATTTAAAACATTTGTAATTTGTCCATGATATTAGTTGGACGTATTCAGACATTTGCTTAGCAAAAATTATTATACTAGACGCAAATTTAATAACGAGTAATCATTAAAATTTGTGATATTTATGTTATGTCATTGCCATTAAATTAAAAAAAAAAACAAAAAAGAATATCAGTTCCACTTACTCGTCGTATAACTAACTCGTATAGCTAGTTAACTAACGTCGTATAACTAGCGTCGTATAACTAGTTAAAATCAGGTTTAGCTTCGAATCAAGACTCGAGAATCTTTTAGAAATCGTGTCGTTGTTTCATCGTCAATAAAAACACGGCTAAATTCATCTTTGTTTCTAATTTACAGCCAGAGGTTCTTGAACACCTTCACTGTCACATGCATTACAATATTCACGATGATATGTGTGCCAGTGATGTACACAGAATTTTTATTTATGTACCTTATGCATCATTCACAGTCTCAACATGCCATTCTTTAACCCTCCGCAGCTGACGTCAAAATCACAGTTACTGACGCTGGGTCTGTAAGACTCATTTAATTTATGTTAATTAAAAAGGACTAATTAATTTCAAGGAATCAAAATGATGACTCGAATAAAATAATTTTAGCTTTAAAGAAGTTAAAGTACATCACACTTGTGCAGTTTTCGAATATTACCAACTTAATAATTAAAACGAGCAACGTTAATAGTAATTAATAGAGTGATTTACATTACTATGTTAAATTAATCTCTCAATAATATTTAACGATTTCCGAATCAAGATGAAAACGCAAAACAATTTAAAATATTACTGAAAGTTAGAGAAAATGATGAAATTTTGTCTGGAAATAAGGGAAAAGTTATGGAATTTTGGGATGAAGAATTGTGTCTGCCCTGAATAACTCAAAGCAGATGTAAAATAAAGAAAATTATATTGTTCGATAAAAAATTTATAATTAAGTGGTCCAATAGATCCACCGTCAGTTCCGGAGAGTTTATTATTCTGTATATATGTATGACAATTAAGGAAGTCTAAAGCCTTAAACACAATGAAAAGCAATAGGAACAAGGAATACGAGATTTGAACTTATCAGAAATCGTGTTATTAAAGTCTATTCTTTTTAGCTAAACTTTTTGCACGGTTCATCT